AGTGGTCACGTTTTCTTCACATTCTCTTTTAGCTGAGCTACAACCAGTTCAACATTGCCCTGACAATAGCGAAACAAAGCTAATTTTAGCTAGACAAGTATTGTAGCCATTTATGGTTTGACATTATAGTTGGCAAGGGAAAGGAGATTGGAAATGAATCTCAGGAAGATTGTATATACCCAGAAATGTTTTCCACATAAGGAGCAAACAAGTTCTTTTCTAAAATAGTCTATAAAAGAAAAAAAAGAATCCATACAGTTCTCCAGGCACAAAAATGAAGATTTGGCATAGTGAGACAATTTGGTATGTAGCTGATTATTATAATTTATTCTCAATAGCTGTAAGATCTTCAGTTTTATTTAGACTTTCTCCTCATGGTGTTCAAGATATTTCATATATTCTCATTTGTTCTAGACATCTACAATATTGTAATATCATATGTTTATACACATAGTATATGAAAATCTCATACTATTGTTTTTCGGGTGAAACCACTTTATAAAAATATTTTTTTAAGATGAATTCTTCTAATGCCAAATTTTGTTCTGTAATTATATTCTACCATCTAAAGAGAAGTCACCTATACTGCCCCAACTTTACACAAATAATAAAATCAAATCATTTTGGAGCTGGCCAGGAGCTCAAAGATCAGCCCCCTCATTTGACAAATGATGAAACTAAAGTTCAGAGGAGGGAAAATGACTTAGCCTAGGTCACATAACTTGTTATTGGTATAACCAGGACAGAGATGCTGATATCCTGACAACAGTCTATCCTATGTTCTATTTTTCCTCATTATGGTAAGAAAAAGAACACTGCATCAGGAATTAGGATATCTAGATTCCAGTCTCATCTATGCCGCTAATTAGCAAGCAATCTCCAACAAATCACTTAATATGCATTCTCTATTGGTACATAATAGCTCTGGAATAATTTGATGGATTCCCCCAAGTACCCATGTGCCTTCCCTCCTCACCTTTCTACCATATCTCCAGCGGAAAGTGAATGAAAAAAAAAAATGCTATGTACTTAGAAAAAGTTTACGAGAACTCTGAGTATATATGATTGTAATTATCTTTATCTGATGCACATGTTGCTTCACTTATTCACATTAAAATGTAAGAGATGCAGCTCATAGGCTATGATTTTCTGAATATCCAACTCATTAGTATTGAGCTCTATCAACTATACTACCTTCTCATGTCATATTTTTTTTGGAGGCAATCAGGGTTAAGTAACTTGTCCAGGGTCACACAGCTAGTAAGTGTCTGATTCTGGATTTGAACTCGTGTCCTCCTGAGTCCAGGGCCAGTGCTCTATCCAGTGCTCCACCTACCTGCCCCCTTCTCCTGTCTTATTGAGCAAATCAAGTTTCTGGTTTGACTGGCTATTGTTATTGCTTTTGCTTATTTGTCAGTCAGTAAACATCTCAGTAATATATACTATATATATGCACATATACATACATTTATTTGTTCAGTTGTTTCAATCATGTCTAACTCTTTGTGACCCCATTTGGGCAAATACAGTGGAGTGATTTGTCATGTCCTTCTCCAATTCATTTACAGATGAGGAAACTGAGTTAAACAGAGTTCAGTGACTTGCCCAGGGTCACACAGCTAGTAAGTGTTTGAGGCTGGATTTGAACTCAGGTCTTCCTAACCTCACATTCTATTTACTGTGCCCCTTAGCTGCTCATATACCTTTATGTGTGTATGTATATGTAGATATAGATAGATAGGTAGGTAGATATGTATAGCTTATTATTATTGTCCTTGTATTATGTGTTATTATGTATTATGCGTCCTTGGTGTCTGACGCAGGAGTGTATACTGTGGATTTCCAGAAACTGGGAAGCATTGCTGTTAAAGTCCACTGAGCCCATTTCCTGATTCACAGAATGAAAGTTTTGTACTTGCTTTATGTACATGTGTAAGCTAGCATAAACCCTAAGACCACCTTTGTGAGATAATGTAATGACAGTTTCTAAGGGAATTGAGGGTTCTGGGATAATCAGTTCAGAAGCTACATGGCTCATGACAATCTAAGCTCTTTCAGTTTGAATGGAAATACTTTTTCAAGCTGTCAGTTTCACTTGGGGAATTTAGTTTTAAGGACAATGATACTCGTGGTATATTTGTATAGCACTTTAAAGTTTGCAGAGCTACATGCATGATCTTAATTTATCCTTACAATAACTGTGAAAAGGGGGCTATTATTATTCTAGTTTTACAGGTGAGAATACTGAGGCTCAGAATCACTGAGTTAGGAAATATTAGAGGCAGGTTTTGAAATCATTTTCCTAGCTTTGATGTAATCTTCCTTCCTTTGCCCTAAAAGGTCAAAAATACCCTTTTAAAGTTAAGGGAAAGGGGGCAGCTAGGTGGCACAGTGGATAGAGCATCGGCCCTGGATTCAGGAGGACCTGAGTTCAAATCCGGCCTTAGACACATAACACTTACTAGCTGTGTGACCCTGGGCAAGTCACTTAACCCCCATTGCCCAATTAAAAAAACAAAAACAAACAAAAAAAAATAAAGTTAAGGGAAGGAAGGGAGAAGGATTGGATAATGGTTTGACCTTCAAAGCCTTTCATATTCTGCCCCTTTTAAATTCTCCCCAACCCCCAGGATTTGAACACCTCCATCCTTCTCAGCCCTCCAGTACTCTGTGATCCAGTGTCACCCGGTATCCTGGAGTGCAGTAACACTGGCTTCTTTGCTGTTGCTTGAGCAAGACACATCTTCCAACTTCAGACTTTTTCACTGGCTGTCCCCCATATCTGGAATGCTCTCTCTCCTCATCTCTGCTTCCTGGCTTGCCTGCCTTCCTTCCAGCTAAAATCTCACCTTCTAAACCTGTATAGATCTCTCTGAATTCTGGTGGCTTCCCTCTGGTGATGATTTCCAGCTTGTCCTGTATATAACTTGTTTGTGCATTATTGTTTGCACACTGTTTCCCCCATTAAACTGTGAGTTCCTTGAGATCAAGGAATTGTCTTTTGCCTTTCTTTGTATCCTCAGTTTTTACATGTAGTAGGTGTTTAACAGATGTTTATTGACTGATTGACAAGTAAATGAAAGGAACAACAGTCTCCAATCACTCCTGAAACCTCTGTGTAAGAACCTGGAATTTGCTTACTAAGCCTTGAAGAACTAATATAGTTGGTGGAGCGCATCACTAATTGGCACCAACTTGGTTCCATTGACCAGACAACATCCCTGTTCAGTGGCCACAGGCCACATCTCAAGTGGAGGCTGATGAATGATTCTTTGCAGGGGACTTTGTAGTGGAGATTCCTGTTCAGTAATGGGTTAAACTACATGGCTTCTGAGATCTCTCCCAACTCTGAAAATCTGTCATTTTCTAGTGCTGACTTTAAGGCTGATCAGTCACCTATTGATCATGAGAGGTACAAAAGAAAGAGTGGGGCTGGACCATTGTAAGCTCATCATGATAAATAGGGGGAAAATTCAGACACATCCTATAAATCAGTAGCATAAAGCCCAGGCAAAAGATACTACATATGCAGTTTCTGCATTGCAAGGGGTATGTGAGTGTGTATGGTGTGTGTGGGGGGGGTATTAAAATAGGGAGTCTATTTAACAAAGGATAAAGGACATATTTATGAAATCATGACTTAGAAGCTTAGAAGATAATCTGATGCCATTGTTCAGTAACTCCCTCTTTGTATACAAAAGAACAAATATTTTCAGTTCTATCTTTTAATTGCAAAATAAATCACATGAATGACCACATTGTAGAGAACTCTATAGTGATTCCTTCAAGTCACCTTGAGCAGCTTTCTGACTCTGTTTCAGGGAGCTTCCTCATTTAAAGCCAAGGACCCATGAAGAATTAGAGAATTTTAAAGGTGGAGATCATTGAGTCTACTCACCTCATTTTACAGACGAGGAAATGAAAGCCAACAGTCAGTCAGTTAATAATCAGTGAATAAACATTTATTATTTATTTGGTTTTGTTTATTAAGTAATTACTATGTGCCAGGCACTGTGCTAAGTTCTGGGCATACAAAGAAAGACAAAAGAGAGACCTTCCCTCAAGTACCTTACAATCTAATGAGGAAATCATTAAATACAAGAAAGCTGAAGGAGAATTGGAGTGTACCTGGGCTTGAGGTACACCAGAAGAATGCAATTGGGTGGGAAATGAAGAGAAGGCTGACCTGGGCACCCTCCTTAATCTGGGAGGAGAAGATTAAGTGATATGACTAAGACCAAAAAATGAGTTAGTGACAGAGCTCACGCTGGAACCCAAGACCTTCGCCTTCTTGTCCAACATTCTAGAGTAGAGATATTATTCTCCACTGCCTTTTTCATACTTGTCTGTTTTATGTGTTAAAATCTTTTGTTTATTTAAAAGATATTTACTGAGGACCTATTACAGGCAAACAATCTGTGCTGAGGCAACCCAGAAAAAAACTACTTCTGCTCTCAAGGAGTTTACCATCTAGAGGGTGCATAAATTAAAAGCATACAAGGTAGTGTGTAAAAAATGCTTGAGAGAGCCACAAAAATGCTTTAAGGATTTTAGTGAGGAAGAGATCACTTCTGGCTCTCAGGCTCAGGGAAGGAAGGCTTCATGAGGAAGGTCTAACCAGAGCTGGACCTGGAAAGCTTTCAGGTTGTGCATGTGGTAAATAAGGGCAGAGGATGACTCAAGCAAGTACACATGGGCAGGGACTATGAAACTTCTCCAATGTGAAAGAAAAAAAGTAGCTAGGTGTCACAGCGGATAGAGCACTAGCCCTGGAGTGAGGAGGACCTGAGTTCAAATTTAGCCACAGACACTTATTAGCTGTGTGACCTTGAGCAAGTATCTTAACCCTGATTACCTCCAAAATGATAACAACAAAATTTTTAAAAAAGACTACCAATGACCTCTTTTTTTAAAGGGGGGGAGGGCAGGAATAAATAAGGTTCAGGCTACCTGGACCATTTTCTAGCATTTATAGGGATCAATCCCTTCCATTCCCACAGACCTCTCAATTCACTGGGAGAAATCTGAAGCAGGCAGTTGTATTCACCAGTTGTTGCTCCATTTGGGATAGGGTAAGTACCAAGAAAATGTTCTTGCATCTCCATCTCTTCTTTCTTTCCTTTCCTCTCTTCTCTACTTCATTTCTTATTACATTTGCAAAGAAATGTGGTACAAAGCCAAACATTAAATAGGAAATGACTTTTTTTTTAAGTAGCAAAATCAAACCCATTGACCAGCTTTCCTTTTTTTCTCCCCAGATCTAAGTGATGTCAGGAAATGTTTCTGGAGAGGGCTTCATTTTTAAAATAATTTACAAAAAACTATTGTATTTTTTTTATCTCCAATTTTAAAAGGCAAGACAAATCCCTGGCACATAAAGGTAACTGGCCAGCACCAGTTCCATCCGCACCTGGGGAATTCATCACATTCACAATTCATATTCAATTTACTCCATTCAGATGAAAAGAGACTGGATTTCAGACCCTGATGATGGGGTGACATTGAATACAAGATTACGTAGCACTTTAAAGAACTTCCCTTTTCTCAGATGCTCCATAATCACATTAACTTAGACTAAAAATTTGAACTAATTCTTTCCCCAGAGTTTTAGGCAGTAATAATTGTAGAAATCTGTGAAATAGGATAAATACAATTCAATAATTATATTGATAAATAAAATGAAAATCAACTAATTGTGTCATTCACTCAGATGCTCGCCTCGGCTGTTGCTGCCTTTCTGCTCTGCTGCCTGCTAAACTTTTCTGTCACACTTCAATAAATTTAATTGTGCAGAATAAATGAGCTAATTTTTGAAGTCACAGGCTCTGTTTGCAAGATAAGGGTGGTGATTTATTGACCTCCTCTAGCTCTGTAAGAGTGTTGCCCTCCTTTTCAACTGACAACTTGGCATAGTTTTTTATTTCCCCCCTTCCTCCCCTGTTCCTTTCCTCCCACAGCCTTGCTCAGCCTGTTCTATCTCTCCCCTCTTTTCCCATCATGTTTCTTGAAATTGCTGACTTCATATCTTGGGAAACTGCAAGGCCCTGTTTTCCATTGGTTATAGTGGGAAACTTTGTAATTAGTGCGGTTTCTCTTCATATGGTGAATTTTAAATTTATTCTTCCTGTAGCTCTCTGAAGCCACAGCTTTTCACAAATCTGGATGGGAGAAGGGACTGTTCTATCCAATTGCTGGGAGGACAAGGCCAGGGACACATACTTCCTCATGCCCAAAGGCAAATGTAGCTAGTCTGTAGGTGAGATCTAGGTTCTGGGAGCAGTTGGCTTAACTCTTTGACAAACGACAGAACAGCAGCTGTGGTTACTGAGAAAGGTATCCTGGTGTGGCGCCAGCTCAAAGCTTCTGATAAAGCTTAGCATGTTTAAATGGACTCTATACTCCAGATGCAGATGAGACATAACAACCTAAAAATGAAACTGCTTAAAACTCTTTTAAAAATGAAGAATTTGCTTCTGCAGAATGGAATCTGTTCATGATGGTTGGGGTACAGCCAATGTACTGCTACCAACCATTATGCTGATAATTTGTTCCTCGTAAGTACCTTTAACAAAATGTGAGACATTACTGCAAAAATCACACCTTAAAAAATAGCATTACATCTTTGATTCTCAAATATTTCAGATGCACAAAGATTGCCCTTATAATCAAACACCATAAAATGAGATCTCGAAGAGGCACTTTCTCTATCTAGTACAATCGTCTCATTTTACAGACAGGAAAACTGAGGCATAGAGATGGGGAAATCGGAGACTGAACTTGCCCAAGGTCATACAAGAAGGGACAGGGGCAGGATTCACAGGTTCTTTGATTCCAAATATAATCTTCCTTCCTCAGCACAATACTGCAATACTTTCTCCCTCTATGTACTCTGGTATAAGTAGATGAATGATCTAATATATATGCAGCTATATGTGCATGTACATTTATTAACATGGACATGTAAATACCTATCATGTTATAGAGAACATGTGAGACTGTATACATACATAATATATTTGACAATAATATATGCATTGTATATAACACATAATATTGTTATATGTATATTGTATGCACATATATATGTATATTGTGTATATATTTGTATATATCAAATATAAAATATAACACACATGGCTTCTAGGCAATGGGGGCCAAGGTAGTAATATGTATGCATGCAGGTGTGCATGCATGTGCTACAAATACATGCATGTACATATGTGTATGCATATACACAAAGGTATGTGTACACATACACACAATGATTACCCCATTGCCTAGAAGCCAGGTGTGTTATATTTTTATATTTTGCCCTTCCTGTAGAGTTCTATAGTCCCCTTAAAGGGATTTGAAAGTATCTAGGCTACTCATGGTGTTCCCCTAATTATAGGGGTAGGCACCCTGTACCTCAGTTTCACTCAACCACTAACAGTTGGATTATTTTTTACAAAGGAGTATTTACTTTAGAGGCATAATAACAAACACAGGAACATACTCTCCTACATGTGAGCATAATCCTCCCAGCGGCACACATACCTGCCCTCTCAGTCTCTGGGGAGGACAAGGCGATTAGGTTGATAGCTTAGTTCAGTCCCTATATAGTTCTAAATTCAAAGGCCCCCAGTCCCCACCCCACCCCCTGGGGCTCAGTCCCAGGAACCCTGGTTTCTCAGGACTTTCTTGATAGGCTGTTTGAATGCAACATCCCTCCTGGAATCCTGGCTCCATGGTTGCCATGGCTTGAACTTCTGGGTCCTATGGGGTTACCACCTGCACCTAGAAACTAAGAAGGAGAAATGCAATTAAACACCTAAGCTTGTTTCTTTGGGCCATGAAATCTAAAGGGGAGAGCAAGGGAAGGAAGCCTTTCCCCCCATCCAGTTAGGTGTTTTGAGTTATTGTGACTTTTGCCTTCTCTGACCACACTGCTGGAAAGAATTCATATGAAAGAGATAGAGATAGTCCCAGGATGGTAGTTTTAAAGATGAAGCCTGTTCTGGCTTTACATTCAATGAAAAGAGGCTCTTCTCACCCAAGTGGTAGGGAGAATTGGGATATCATCTCCTAGAAGCAGGGTGCCACCATGTTAGGTGATCTGAGCATGCTCCAAAGCTCCCATTGCATACTTACACACATAGATACCTACAAGCTTAGATGCATGAATTAATATGTACACATTTAAACAAATAAAATAAAATTTGAAGAAATCAAAAGGACACATCCATTGCTGCTGCCAAAAGGAAAATTATTACCCATTCCATAGAAGGAAAAAGTGCAGGAGACAAAACAGATTGATTGGTTATGCAAAATTAAAAGAGTTTTTGTACTTATAAATAGGACATCCATTAAAAAAATGAGAAAACTAGTTAGAGAAAGCCTCGGCCATAAATATTTCTGATAAAAATATGTGACCAGACAAGTCACTTAACTTGTATTTGTTTTAATTTGCTCACCTGTAAGATGGGGATAATAATAACACCTACCTTCCCGGGCTGTTGTGAGGATCAAATGAGATAATAATTGTAAAGCACTTAGCACAGTGCCTGGCACATAGTAAGTGCTACATGTTAGCTATCATTTATTATTATTATTATTCCCCTAATATAATCAGTGGGGGCTCCAGAAAATGACAGAGAATGAGAGAACCATCTTTAAACCCCTAAGGTACTAGAGAACCCTGTAAGAGAAGCGAAAGATGAGACCCCTGGCCCTCAGGGAGTGGGGTCAGAGCAAAGCTATGTCCTGTAGACCTCCCAACTGTGGGATTCGGAAACACTTCATGGAGGAGTGTTACCTGCCCCAGGTGTAAACTAATCCTTGAAGAAAGCTAGAACTTCTGAGAGGCAGAGGTAAGAAAGGCGATTCCACACATGCTTGCCAGCCCATGCAAAGGAATATAGGTAGGAACTAGAATCTAACATTCAGGCAGAAGAAAGAAGAACAATTTGTCTGGAATAAAGAGTGCATGAAGACAAGTAGAGAAAATAAATCAGGAAAAATGTATTGAAGCTATGTTATAATGTTTTAAATGCCAGGATGAAAAATTTGTATTTCATCCCAGAGGCAATAGGGAGCGACTGGAGATATTAGAGTGAGTTTGTAAGACCTTTGCTTTAGGAAAAGTAATTTAACAGGTATTTGGGAAAAAGGAAAGAAAAGCATCAAAAAGATCTCTTGGAAGGTTATTGCAAGAATATAGTCAAGAAGTGAAAAAGTATTTGAATTAGGGTAGTAGCCATGTGAAAAGGGATTAGGTGAAAAATAAGAGAGAATCTGTGGAGGTATAATAGTAATGATTCGGTAGTTAACAAACATCTGACATATGTCAGAAAGAAAATATTTTTTTCTGCTGTGTGGAAACTATAGAATTATTTGAAGGCAACCCAAGTTATTTCACTGGCTATTACATACTGTTCTCCTTTAATATTTGAGTTTTTGAAGGTTATACCAGTGGAGTGTAAGTCCTACCAAATTGGAAATGATAATAGACTGCATGTCTATCATCCAAGGAACAGTCTAGCTGTGTTTACAAATAATAATACTAGCACTCTAATAATACAGTACTTTAAGGCTTATAAAACACTTTACAAATATCATCTCATTTCATCTTTACCACAAGCCAAAGAGGCAGGCATTATTATTATCCTCATTTTATAGATAAGGAAACTGAGGCAGACAAAGCCCAAAATCACATAGCTAGTGTCTGAGGCAAGATTTGAATTCAGGTCCTCCTGACAAGGGAACCAGCTTTACCCACTAAACCATTTAGATGTTCCTATGCTCATCATTAAGGAGGTGGCTACCAGCTGATTCGTTTCTCTGGCAATGACCATTTATGATACTATCTATTAAGGTATGGATAGGTCTGTATCTGCACTGGTATCAGGAGTAAATACTTGGATGAAATCATGGATTTTTTTTCAAAATATTTAGTCAGATATTGATCATCCCAGTAGTTCAGTGCAACCAAGAATTCAAAGGTAACCCCTTATGTGAGAAAAGAATCAAATATAGGTGTGTGGCCTGGATATAGTAACATGTCAGTCAAGCAGGGAAAAGATGAAGCAGGTTGGAGCAGGCCAACACTATATTCCACTGCAGAACCTTTCTGAAGGGTCAAGTGAACTCCTCTCCCCACCCTTTTCCTCTAGAAATCACCTTCCTTTTAAACCATATATATCTTGTATATACACAGCTGTTTATATGTTTTCTCCTCTTTAGAATGTGAGCTTCTTGAGGGCAGGGATGGTATTTTTGTTGTTCTTTGTAACCCTAGCACTTAGCACAATGCCTGATATATAGTAAGTGCTTAGTAAATGCTCTACCTGCCTACTTGTCTATCTATCTATCTATCTATCTATCTATCTATCTATCTATCTATCCATATCTATCATTTAGCTATCATCTATATCTTTATATCTATCATCCATATTTCTATAACTATCATCCATATCTATCTACCTATCGTCTATACCTCTATATTTGTCTATTATCTGTATCTTTATATCTGTCTCTCCATCTATGTATCTATTCGCAACCTATAGATCTATGTTGTTGACTGAATGACCTCAAGGAAGGTTAACACTTTTTTTCCCCTAGCAACCAGGCAGTGTGCCTAGAAGTTAATACATAATCCAGTACCTTTTCAATTCTGAAGCTTCAAAACTCTACTATCCTCCTAAATAGGGGCTCAGATTAGCTTGGTTTACTGCCTGATCAGAAGGGCTCATTCCTTGAAAAATATGTAAGAGGCTAAGTCTAATCATTTTCTTCCTTCCTTCTTCCTTTTTATTAATGAAGGGAAGGGACTATAGGGCAGAAAAGAAACAAAGTTATGTTCTTGTTCTTAAAAAATAAACAAAAATACCTCCCTTTCTGATATGTTTCTATCTACTTGGTGTTTTCTTATACTTCTCCCACTCTGACTAACCACCCTCCCTCTCTCTTCCCCCTCAACCTAGGATGCTTGCTTTGAAGTCTGAGAACTTTGCTGAGGGGAGAAGGGCTGAAGAGAGTCTGTGGCTCTTAATGAAGACTTAATGTGATGCCACAGTCCTGGAGTACAGCAGTACCTTCAGGGCAGTGTCTCCAGGTGTTTGCCTGCAGGAAGTCATTAAAAGGCAATGCAAATCAGGACAGAATTCCCATGGGCAGAAAGAGAACTTTCCACACACTGGGTACTATTGTTACTATTGTTACTGTCTGTGTTGCTAGATAATCATAACAATAAGCATTTAAAAATTGCTATTGATCCAGATTTAGGTTACTTGATATGTTTGGGGACTGTGGCACTGGATTCAAAGCATGTGTCCTGAAAACTAATCCTCACCTGAAATAAATATATACTCCCTGCCCTCTCCCCTGACAATGAATGCCAGCAGAATCACTAATTCCTTTGTATAGAGCTTTCCTATTGGAGAAGGAAATGGCAAACCACACCAGTATCTTTGCCAAGAAAACTCCAAATGAAATGGGGTCACAAAGAGTCAGACATGAATGGAAATGGCTAAACAACATCAAATAGACAAAGGAAATTGGGATCTTAGACTAACTTCCTCATTTGACAGATAGAGAAACTAGGGTCCATAAGTTAAATGATTTGTCCAAGTTCACATAGTTAATTTAGTGGTTCCTACCCAACTAAGCACATCCCTAAATATAGGCAGTCATGTTCCTGAACTTACTTCTTTAAAACAAACAAACCAAAAAAAAAAAAAAAAAAAAAGGCTGGCAGCATGATGTAGTTGAGAGAGCCCTAGATCTGAAAGTCAAAGAAACTAGTATTCACAGAATTCATCCAAATAGTTGTAATGACTCTGGGAAAGTCACTTCAATTCTTTGGGCCTCAGTTTCCTCTTCTGTAAAATGAGGGGGTTGGTTTAGATGACCTCTAAGGTCCCTTCCAGCTCTAAATCTGCAAGCTTATGGTTATTTATTTCACAGAGAAATTTATATTTATCTGTTTACCTCTTTACTACTTGTTTGTTTTGTCCAGAACTGGGATTTCATCTATATAGAAAACATAGATGCTGAAACTCCTGGAACCATTCATGTCAGCAACACATTAGGAATTTATGATTTTGGAGAGCTGAGACACAGAGATCAGTCTCACAGTCAGTACATGTCAGAGGCAGGATTTGAACTGAGCTCCTTTTGCTCCAAGCTAGTTCCTCTTTCCACTACCCTGGGCCAACCTTTATAAAGAGAAATTATGCCAAGAAATACAGTGGGATCTTAGGAGGCTGTCTTGTGTTGAGATATAATCTTAGCCTCCCTCCCTCCGTCTAATACCCAACTCAGCAGTACCAAGATGAACAGACTCTGGTTTTTGCATGAACCCCTAGATGCCACTGAGTTCCCCTTTCAGATCAAAAACCTGGCATGGGTTTTTTCCTTCTGAAATTCCCTCCCACTGTGGGCACTCAAGCAGTTGGTGAAATCCTGCCTGTGGCAGAAACAACACTGATTTGTATCTGAGTATGAAATGAAATGAAAATGTGAATTGAACTCATTACTTGAGGAAGGAAGTATTGCCAAGTTGAACAGGATGGAATTCCAGCATGGTGTATGGTTTCACTGGGCGGGCTATAGTGAGACTGTACATAGAAATGTTTCCAGCTCATAGAAACTCTTTCAAAACATGCTCAGCCCTTTTTAGATGAGGGGACGTTATCATCTCTATCTATGGCATTTTCTACAAATAGATCTTAAATACCCTTTAGGTTGATTGCATAGAAAACCAGAAGAAATCATTTGCAAGATGACTGACTAATTCCATATCAACTGATAATCTTGGGGGAAATCACACCAGTGAAGTCTACTGAGCCCTAGTGCTATGACACTATTCCTATCACCATCACCACCACCACTCCACCTAGAGCCCTGAGGAGTAAAAGCAGTAGCTGTGGTCTTGGGACCCAGATTGCTAGTACAAGTTGGGCTTGGAGGAGTAGCTTTAGGTCATATCCCACCAAGGAACTGTGGTAATTCCAAAGACTAGGAATACAAAAACAAAACAAAACAAAACAAAACAGGATCCATTTTCAAAAAAGGCTGGACAGACCCAAAGTGCCCACTGACAAGAAAATATGAAGAATATATGAAGAAATGCAAAGTAATTTTTAGAGGGAGAAAGCCATTTATAACTGAGGGAACAACTCAGAAAAGACCTTATAAAAGAGGTAACTAACATCTGAGTCTAACCTTGAAAGACACTAGAAATACCAATAAGTGTAGAGGAGGCATGGGGTTCAGAAAAGAGAGCTCTGGGTAGGTTTAGGGGAGAAAGGCGACTCCTATATCCATGTCCATGATCTAACCAGTTAAATTGTGGCAGCCCTGTAGTTCCTGACTTTGGTGGTTTGAGTTCTCATGGGAATTTAGAATGGGTTTTGATCTTTTATTTATGAGATACCTGCCATTGCTGCTTTATTCCTTGTATTTTTTCCTGAATTGACCTTTCATTTTTGAACAGAAAGCCACTTGGTGTACAGAGCTGCAAAAAAATTTAGATACTATTACAATTGGGACAGAAGTTGCAAAAGAAAGGTAAGCAGAGATTGAGGAGAAAAAAGGCAAAAGGAAAGTTCTTTATTTCCCCTACTCTCCTATTTCTAATGTTTTCCTTTTTTATCTACTCTGTAAGAAAGTAAATATCTCTCTGAACTTCATTTTTCCCTACAAGAATATGCAGACTTTGCATATACTTTTTTTCTCTCATGTCAGATGTAAAAGCCATGTTTTCATGTTATGAACGCATTTTCAAGTACTCTTTCATATAAAAATACCCATTTTCTTTACCAAGAGGGTACTCAGGGGTATTGAACACACACACACACACACAACACACACACACACACACAACACACACACACACACATTCACATTATTTAATAATTCACCTCCACTAAAATCTTGTTTAAATTCCCCTAGTCTCTGGAAGTCTATGCCATCAGAGGACAAGGCTCAGCAGATCCTACCCAGCTGTAGCACCTCCAGGCTGGACTTCTGACATGTCAAGCCCAGACCTGAGAAACTCATAGCTGTAGCCCACAAAGTCTGGTAACCAAGGTATAGGGATCTGCCTCAGTGGAGGAAAACCATAGATTCCTGAAGTATGAAAGGATTTTACCACAGGATTCTTTAAAGTAGCTAACTCCCTTGATTTTATCTTTTAAGAGTTTCTATTTACATGCAATTTTTATATCTTTCTTTTTTTATGATGAGATTTAGGAACTAGGAAGAGGTCAGTCTAAACTAAGGAACCTGCAGTGTCCTTGATATCTTAGCAAACAAGAGACCTTGATTTGACAATGTGCTTTTGAGAGAACTGTCTTTTTAAGCTTCTATGAATTGTTCATTTGTTCCCCACATAAAGACACACAAGTGTATGTGCATGCATCCATACAATCTACATCCATGTATGTATCTGAGAGGCAGTGTAACTCTCAGGAGATAGAGCTACCTTTGGAGCCAAAAAGACCTAGGTTCAGTCCTGTTTCTGACGCATACCAACTGCTTGACCCTGAGCATCTCTTGACATCTTAGTGTTTCAGCCACTTAAAGAGGCATTTTCTCTGGCTGTCCCTCATCCTTAGAATGCTCTCCATCCTCTGTTCCAACTACTAACCTCCCTGGTTTACTTTTAAGTCCCAACTAAAATCCCACCTGCTACAGGAAGCCTTCCACAGCTGCTCTTAATTCTAGTGCTTTCCCTCTTCTAATTATTTCATATTTATCCTATATATAGCTTGCTGTGTATATATATATATGTATACGTATATATATATATGTGTGTATATATGTGTGTGTGTGTGTGTGTGTGTGTGTGTATTTGCATGTTGTCTCCCCAACATTGAATTGTAATCTTCTTAAGGGTAAGAATTGTCTTTTGCCTTTTTTTGTTAACACCAGGGCTTAGCACAGTGCCTGGCACAGAATAGGGGCTTAATATATGTCTATTAAATTGAATCGAATCCTTAACATTTTTTTTAGGCATGAATCTTTTGGCAGTGTGGTACAGTTTATGACCCTGTTCTCAGGATATTTTTAAATGCATAAAGTAACATATATAGGAAAAGGAAAGGTAATTATATTGGAAAGGAAATCAATTATATTAAAATGTGGTTACCAAAATATATGTATTTTTAAAGTTCACGAACTCCAGGGTTAAGAATTTGCTAAAACTGAAAGTTGCAGAGATCATGCCAATCTGCAATGGCAGAAGGATTTTCTTTACCAAGGATTTCCCTGAACCAATAATTCACAGGTCCAATCCTCTTTTCTCATGTAGATAGATATCCACACATGTATAGATAGATAGAAACACACACATATATACACAGAGAGATATTTATATCCATGTATACACATGTGGATATGCACATACACGCATATAGAGACATATATGTGTATGCTGTATATGTGCATATAGTATGTCTGGTTACCTAGGATGCATATACGTTTATATACAAAGGGTGAGAGAGAGAGAAAGAGAGAGAGAGAGAGAGTTGTTGTTTAGTCATTTTCAGTCATATTCAACTCTCAGTGACCCCATTTAGTGTTTTCTTGGCAAAGATACAGGAGTGGTTTGCCATTTCCTTCTCCAGCTGATTTTGCAGATGAGGAAACTGAAGCAAACAGGGTTAAGTGACTTGCCCAGGGTCACACAGCTAGTAAGTGTCTGAGGCCAAAGTTGAACTCAGATCTTCCTGACTTCAGGCCCAGCACTATATCTACCGCTCCACTTTGCTGTGTGAATATGTGTGTATATATATATATATATATATGTGTGTGTGTGTGTGTATATGTATATGTATATGTATATGTATATGTATATGTATATGCATGTATATATGTATATATATGCATGTATTATGCATATGTGTATCCAACATATATGTATGTGTACATGTACATGTGTGTGTATATGTATATATGTGTGTATATGTGTATATATATATGAATGAAGACTTTTTCTCCCCACAAATAAGTAAACACTTTAACTTTTCTCCCATATACCACCAAGTACATTCCTCTAAATTGGTTAAGCAAAACCCATGGAGAGGAGTGACTGTTTGGTTTTTGTTGTTGTTTTATTCTTTGTATTCCTAGTATCTAGGATCATGCTCAGCACATAGCAGGTTG